GACTGCGCTCTGCCTTGGGTTTAAGGCACAGGGTTTAGGGTTTAGAGGGTTCCGGGGGTTCAGGGGAAGATCCAGGGATCACATACGCAGGCGCTTGCTTGCGGCTACTTTGGGGGTCACCTAGACATCCCTGTAAGGCTGTACTCTAAATCAAGACCGCGCCGCCCCGCCGACGGGGTGACTCCGCCTGAGCGAAGGCAGTAGGAGATTGTCAAGAGGACAACTTGGAGTGTCAACGTAGGCTACATTTCAGAGAAATGAGCCGTGAGAACATGGGATCAAGAATTCATCCCATTTGCCCGGGATAACGCCAGTTGCCCATTCTTCTTTTGAAAGCCTACTCACGACGCAGGCCAGGCATTTCAAGTGTGACCAGCAAGAAAAGATAAGGGGTAGCTCACATCCATGTCCATTATGCCGCTTTCAGATTGAAAAGAAGCTTCGGGATTCGGGTGTGTATGCGCAATTGCATCAAGAAGCTGCAGTGTGTATTGACCGGACTCAGCGGCTGTTGCGGGTGACGGCGTTTTGCTGGAAATTGATCTTTTTTACAGGCAGGAGAGCATGGCCTGCTAAGAAGAGCATTGGGCCGAAAAAGCCGTAAGTGTTACTGTAGAATTATTGTTGGAGTCTCGCGCTTTATCTAACTCTGGGATTCAGTGCCCAACTCCAAGATCTGTGACACATCTAAACACCTACCAGCTCCTTCGCAGAGCCCTTCCCCAGGCTATCATGGAAGCCCTCACAGCGCCTTGAGAGAGGAACAGCAATCTTCTGATGGCCGTTTTTGGGGCTGCACGTCAGCCCTTAGCCCCAACCCATCTATCTGACCGAAGCCCTGCAATCCCCATGAAGTCGCTCACAAAAAGGCAAGTCTACACGGGGCCTGAAACTGAAAGGGTTCCTGTACAGGTACTTTGAGCCCCGCAAGAAGCAACAAATCCCTGAACATTAGACCCTAACCCCTCCACCCGAAACTTTGAACCCTGAACCCAAACCTTTAATCAAATCCCAAAATCCTAAACTTTAAGCTCCAGACCTTTAACTTGAAAACATTCAAGCCCTTGAACCTCAACCTTGTACCCTTGGAACCAAAGCTGAACCTTGGTCCAGAACTCTGATGCAGAGGAAAACCGCACCTGAAGGGTTTAGGGTGTGGAGTTTTAGGGTTTTAGGGGATTTAATGGTTTTGGGTTTGGGGTTTAGGGGTTTCGGGTTTGGGGTTTCAGGGCCTTAGGGTTTAGGGATGTAGAGTTTCAGGGTTTAGCGTTCTGGATACAGAATATATTGGCGTGTATAGGGTTTAGGGTATAGTACTGCCCAGACCCCGTAACAACAGTCCTGCTTAGGCGTCATGTCAAGGGCTAGATAAAGCTGTAGTTATTAACATTTCTCCAGCTGTTACAGAGTGGGGGCAGTACACCCAAGGTTTAGGTTTAAGGTAAAGCAGAAATCATGAGTAAATATACAACAAAGCCACCATATGTTCTCAGAAATTTTCCATTTGAACAATAGCTCGAGAAGAAACCATCACATAATCTCAGTGCCCATGTCCCAGTCGATTTCTTTTCCATGTGCTTTTCCTGTTTGTTGGTGATTGACACCATTTATGCGAAAATCCTTCTAGAATAGCATAACCGAAAGGAGGATATAGTCTTCCTGAACATTGGTATATTGGGGACTGTCGTCCCCATCGAAGAATACTGCTCTGGTGGGGTTGTAGCAAAACCCATGCTGGACTCAGGGTTTCAACCTAGAATGCAGCATGATCCATCAAACACCACGCTAGGCAACGCTAGTTGGAAGTCTCCAGGCGTCCCTTATCCCTACAAACCAGACGCCCTCCATACATGTTGTGGTCTACTATGATGTATTAGGTTACCCAATGCTTGAGGGTGGGGGGAAGGATTACTGAGGCACTGTGTAGGGCAGTTTGCTGACTGCAAATCCCGAACTGGAGCTGATAATCCATACATATCCCCAGGGCACGCCAACTCTGAAATTTGAGAAGCATCAACCGACCTATGCTACCTGTGTTTCTCCCCCAGATACCACGACAGAAACTCCCGGAATGCGGCAGGGCCGCAACCTCGCGTGAGGGTGAGGACCTCAGCTAGGGCTGTGCCACCAGTCTTGAGGTTCAGAGTATGTGTTTGATGGCTCCGGGTTTAGGGGTAGGTCCCCTGGGGGAGCCGAGGGTCTGCAGGTCACCACTCGACTGCCTTGCTCGGGGGTATGTCTCAAAACCAAGACGCACCCACATGGAGAAAACAAGTTCCAAGCCTAAACCTCCTGTCCTTCTCACAGCAACACGAAGAAACAACTGCAGCTAGCGTAAAGCCAAAGCCTGCAACCAAGGCTTCAACAGAGGGTTTTGGGTTCAGAATGTTTGGTTTTTAATGGAAGTGGTTTAGAGCTTGAAGGTAAAGAGTTGAGGGCTTAGGAAGCTCAAAGGCCCCACAGGCAGAAAGGGGGCCTTGTACCTTGCATGCAGCACCCAAAATATACTGTTCTGCCCCTGAGCTGAAGATTAGTATTACACATTGCTACAGTCGCTCTAATGTAAAAGGGGACATATCCATGCTGGGACTTGTCATGGTTCCAGTTCTTTGAATGAAGCCTGACAAGGCCTCCACGTGACGAATCTATTTAAGTCACCATTTGAGGTGAAGTCGGGTGAGGCCGCCGTAATTCCCTGCTATCGAAGATAGAGCGTGGTGAGCAAGCTTGATTTTAGAGGGCAAGAGATTAAGTACCCTCCCCCAGACTAGCTCCCCCAGACTAGCATACAAGGCCAGACGGGTCATTATTAAGTTAGCTATGCTTTGATAAGGGGCCTATAAGGCCTCCATGTAAATTTTGGCCATGGATTATCCCCGGATGCCGAGGCTGTGACGGTGAACTTTGCCCAAGCCGCAGAGGGCCAACTTCATCCTGATGAGGGCTGTTGAGGATGATTCGGAGTTGGGACTTTAGGCTTTAGGTGCTGGGCTTTCTTCTCACATTCTGGGCTCCGTCCAGTTCTACGGAAACTACATTCATAGAGTAATAAATACCTAGAGGCTCCTTTCGGCAGATATAATTGCCTCAATTCGCTTTCGGCGCCCAAACTGACTAAAGGAGATTTCCCGGCATTTCAGGAATGTTGTCGGCGGATCATCACACTTGACGGCGTTTCCTTCTCATCAGGTTCTGACTGCATTGCTGGCAGTTGTTGCAAAGATGTGTCATGACCAAATAACTCTTGTGGGAGCATGGCCTGCTATCTTGGTGCCCTCTCAAAACCTTATGCCCTACCACGATGAAACCTTATAGCCCATGCCCATACCCTCAAACCCTAAAACCCTACACGCCCAAACTCAACACTTTAAGCCCTGAAGACATCTTTTGAAAGAATTGTGGTGACCTCACTGTCATGATGGATTACTCTGCCGGCGTGGCCAAGCTCTTCCAAAGGTGCGCCCTCCCTCTAACCTTTCCTCTGTGTGGCTGTGTGTGGACGTGAGATCTTTTTGGCAATGGTTGCTTGTACAAGCTGGCGTTTGTGACTTGCTAAGATTTTTGGGTCGAGTGGTCATACCAAAAGAGTGGCCATGTCGTTGGAGATAGATGCGGCGACTTACAAGCTTCTAGAGTCTGCAGGCCTGGTGGGTGTTAGGGTAGGTGCTTTCCATGGAAAAGATTTTAACCCTTGATTTGCCAGGGCTGCACAAGATGCCTCATGGATGGTTCCATGAGACACAGCTAGTTCTTTGGCCTCAGGAGACTCCGCAGGCGGCAGGGTCTCTTCAAGCATTTGTTGCTACATACTATTAGAAGCCTTTCTCCTACAATGTTTCTTCTTCAGGCCGTGGTAAGCGAACAGCAAGCCAAGATCATCGTGGAAAACTTTTTGCGTGGTGGTTCGGTCAAAGAGCTTGCGCGTGTCTACTGGGAAGGGCAGGCATGCAACCGCATCTCGTTAGCACATGAGAAAGCCAGGGTCAAGGTATGTCAAAATTTTGAGGGTCAGCCACCTAAGGACGGATGATGGAGGACAAGCCCTTGCAGCCTGTAGTGGAGAAAGCTGAGCAGTAGAGTGCGCTAAACGAAGTTGCTGCCTGTGAAAAAAATTGAGCCTGCTCATGTCCTGGAAACCTTTGTGCCTAGATGTACCTGGTCTGTAGCCCTGAAGCCCGAAACCTATAAACACCCTCCCTTGCCCCCGCTTCGCAGGTTCCTTCTTCGTCTTCGGCGAGTACGTGGTTGGATGGTTATCAAATGGCTGGAGAGGCTGGGGATAGGGCTGCTCAGAGGCTCAGGTAACTTTTAGTTTCAGGCATTCGCACATGCCAATAACTGATGCGTTCAAAGTGGCAAAACAGAAATGTTACTTGCTGGAGCTACATTGCATGCATAGGGATCTCAAACCCTGGAGCCCTTCTCAATTTACAATGCCAGACCCTAAACCCTAAGCCCTACGCCCTAAGCCCTAAACCCTAAACCCAGAGCCTTTTGTGTGTGCGCCAGGAAGTCCGTGCTCTGGCTGGATGTGACAAGGCGAGCTATCGGCTGGGGGATCTGTCTCGGGCCTCGGGTGTGGGGTTTAGGGTTGTGTGTATGTCAAAAGGTAAACATACTCATAGATGAAGGAGATGGGATCGAGGGATTAGGGAGTGACAAGCGATTTCCTTGGCTACTTGCTGTCTTGCACCCTGCTGTGAGCTAGTCATGCCCTTGCGTGCTCAAAACTTTGTCAAGTGAAACCTTCTGGGCGCTGCTCAGGCGCGCTTCGGTGTTCCTGGCGGGCAGCTCCCAAGTGACCAAGTGACCCTTGCTGTTTACAAGTTTGCGCGGACATGTCTGGGTGTAGTATTTGCTACGAAGTCTTATCCATGTAGCGGCTCAGAGCATGCTTGAAAAGTAGCACAGCTGTGCAGTCAATCCAATCTCTAGGGGTAGTGCTGTGTGCAGTTTCTGGCAGGGCTTTCTTAGGGGGCTTGCGCTTCATCTAGCGAGCCATGCCTCGTCGACAGCAGTCACGGGAGAATGCAGATGAGGTGAAGGTAGATCTTTCTGGTGTGGCGAGTGCCTGGGAGGGCAATGAACGCATCCGAAGGGTGGTGTTGCCATCGTCTTCCCTATTGCAGTGGCTCGGCCCCACGCAAGTAGGTGTCATTACCATGGACACGCTTAAGAAGAATGTACCAGTGATGATGGAATTTCTGAAAGTCTACCTGCCCCAAGTGCCAGAGGGCAAGACATGCAATGTGGAGCTCATTAAAGAACAGGTGGGGGTGGGAAGTACTCCGTGCAAATTACTGGCCCCATGTTATTTCAACCGTTGTGAAATGGTCTAGAGAGCCCTGCAGGTGAAGGAGTTCCGTCACCAGCTCGCCATGGATGAATCTATGGCTTCTGTGCACTGTGAGGGTGCTGCGATAAAGTCCTTGGTCTCCCTCATAAACCGTCGGAATGATGGATGCAAACGAAGGGAAACTTAGACTGCATCACTACAAACATTGCCCCAACTTTGCTGCACATGACAGTTGTTGATGCTGTGACCTGAACCTCCAAGGATCCCCACCTACGGGAGCTCTACGAACTTGTTGTCCAGTACTGGGCCCCAAAGCTTCGCAAGTCCAAAAGTGATCTAGAGAACCCCCCCAGTGAGAAAGAAGAGGAGGCTTCTCAGGAGCCAGTGGCACAGGAGGGGGAGGAAGAGGAAGAACTAGAGGATGATGAGGAGGTAGAGGCCCCAGAAGCTGAAGAACAGGAAGTGAAGGAGCCGGCAGAGCAGGATGTGAAGGAGCCTGCAGCGGAAGAGAATGTGTGCAAGGATGGGAATGTTGAGCTTCCGTATCAGAAATTGTTGGAGAACTTGGGGCTACCCTACAACACCCCTGAGCCCCCGTCTGCATATTTGCCGCCAGCCCCTTTGCCAGAGCCAGTCGACTTGATCGCAGCACCCCCACCTGCAGCCAGCGTGGATGAGCAGCTTCAGTTGATTGAGCCTTCTAGCTTGCATTTGGAGTAGACATTAACTCTGGAAGGTGAGTGGGTTGTATAGGGTCAATAATACCTGTGTGTGGGCTTGACCAACAAGGCAACAATTGGCCCGACGACGAGCCGAGTTGAGGGGGCAGCATGTGATGAATTCCTGGGATGGTGGTGGCTTAGATTGGAAGTATGTAATTTGGCAGGGATGTCCTACCATGCTGTGTTTGCTACAATTAGTTATTTGTGTTGTCTATCTAAGGTGTTTGCCCGGCTGACGCCGAGACTCTCCCCTACACCTATCCGGATGATGTGAGGATTTCGGGGCCTAGTCTTGAGACCCTGCAAGCCAGCCCTGCGCCCACGTTGTACTTCAGCCCTAAAGTTCCGAGTTTGGAAGAGAGCGCAATCCCTGCTACTCAACCAAGCCCCTTCCACGCTAGTCAAACAGCCATGCAAGAGAGCCGAATCCCGCCTGCGCAATCGAGCCCCATCCATAGTGTGCCAGGACCGCAAGAGAGCCCAATCCCTGCCACTCAACCGAGCCCGAAAAGCGCCAGCCCGATACCACCTACTCAGCCAAGCCCCAAGGTCGAGAAGCAACATGTCTTCACCTTCCCTCCTGAACTAGTTTCCCTGGAAACCCCTGAAAAGTCGACTCCAGGCAAGCCTTCAAGCCCTACCCCAACGGAAGCGCTGAGCCCCCTGACCAAAGAGGAAGCAGCCACCCTGGAAATCCTAGGGCAACCCACACCCAAGAAGGCTTTGTTTCAGGATTGTGATACACCTTGCAAAAAGCCTGCTGCAAATGTCCAAGCTTGCCCCTCCTCACCTGCGTTGAGTGACTGCGCAGCTTCACCAGCTTCGTCCGGGATAACTCCTCAGATGCTGAAACAGCAGGAGAGCGGGGAAGGGAGGTGGGAAGGTTTAGGGCCAACTGGTGATAAGGTTAGGTGCCTAGGTTTGTGTGTTGGTTTTGTAGTCTTCAGCTTTGTACCTCTAGGCACACTCGATAGAAGCCTCGAAGAATGATTTCCGGAATCTAGGCTGGATTGCTTTCATGTTCGGGGGAATAAAGCTGCTCCCTAAAAGTTACTCTAGGGATTACTGGGTAGGCTGTGTACTACTTCCCGGGAGGACTTGGTATTGAGGAAGGAGCAGCTAGGAGGCAAGCAGCGGCAGAGGATGCGCGAAGATGGTCCTGAGGAGCCCCAGTCAGATGAAGACATTGGTGCCGAGCTGTTCAAGAGACCAGCGGCTGCCAGAGCCAAGAGTCGTGCCAAGGCAAAAGCTAAGGCCAAGGGCAAGGCCAATGCCAAGGCCCTTGCAAAGTCACGCGTGAAGCCCCAGAACAACCCGAAGGCCCAGAGCAGAAAGTCACCCGTGAAGCCCCCAAAGAAGCCCCAAGGCAACCGCCAGACGCTAGATGTGGAACTCGTTCAGAGTCAGCCACAGGAAGAGGCGGGCACAAAGGGTAAGCGCAAGGTGGGGGACAAATTGGAAATTGAGGGCCCGGCAGAAGAATGGGGAGGTGGCAGCCACGTTTGCAAGGCGGGTCCTACCAATCAATGACCCCAACAGAGCAATCTTCTTGGCATTGAGAAAGAGCTATGAGAAGCTTGTTGCCCCGAACGTTTCCAGCCCCTCGACACTGCAGGACAAGGGGTTCAGCTTTTTCAAAGATCTAGCCTAGTCCCTAGACAACATGCAAGCGAAATACTTTCCCTACAGGACCCGACAAGCTTGCCCGAAGCTTCCTCATGAGCAAGGAGTGTGAAGGACTGCAGATGCCTTTCTTAGGTATACTGAGCACGTGCTGCCATCACTTGAATTATAATACAGCTGAGTTCATGTGCAGTCTTTGCTTTTCAGGACGCTTGCTGGGCCACTGAGTTGAGAAGTACGATTCCGATTACATGTTGTGAGCTGCCCCTGCGATAAGCGCAGGAAGTTTTGTTTTGCCGAAGGCGCTGTGATAGATGTCTGCCCTTTACTCGCTCGATGCGTGTGGCGAATCTGTGTGGGGGTGAACTATAGCTATGGGCCTCAAGGTCGCAGTACACATACGAAAGCTCTAAGGTCTTCGCTAGTGGGGAAGCGCCACGGAGTCATTGTGGCGATGGGGTTATGGAGGATTGCAGGCTGAGCGCTGAAGAAAAGATAGCAACTTCTTGCTTGCCTTCCAATGTGCGTGACTGTTTGTGCTAGGGTAACGAAGCCAAAGCTGAAAGCCGAACAATTCTGCGCCAGGTACTAGCTCTGGATGCCGCCGCGACCGCTGCACGCCTTCCTGAAGTATGGTCTCGCAAGTGGTCAGCCCTTGCTTGCTTGAGGGGTCATGGGTGGGGGTTTGGGTTGTAAACCAAGTGGTCTGTTTTGCCAGCCTCGAATCATTTTCTTGTTGTGGATTTGGGGCTTTTGGGTTATGTGGTTCGTACAAGGTCTTGGAGAGGTTTGGCTCTTCACTAGGGGTGCACATACTCACTGCAGCATGTTGTCCCAAGGTGCTCCTTGTCCTCTAGAAGCCTGAAGACTGACTTTGCTGTCCCCAAATAACCCTAAACCCTAAACCCTAAACCTATCTCTACACATAGAACCCCGCAAGCTTTCCCTAGTGGCTTGTACGGGCATGAGGGCTGCGCAGCTAGTGTCATTGTCTGTGCGTGTGTCTTTGTGGCTATACTGCTCAGAGACACTTTAGTTTTAGGCAGCCTACTTGAAAGTAGCCAGCCACACATGCCCCGAGATCGTATAGAAGAGATCATCCGCCGTCTCATTACATATGGCGCGCCGAAAGAAACTTGCTTGCAGAGGTTGTGTATCCTGCGCGTGGCTGAATGTGGATTTCAATTGTCACTGACTGGGGCTACCGAGGTTTTTGTGGCCCTGATCATTCTCACAGCCCACATGGATTTTGGGCTAGAGAACTCTGAATTTCAAATCTTAGAATTCTTCGCAGGGACCCGTCGCATTTCCCGGTTGGCGACCTCAGTTGGGCTGAAAGCTGCAGCGCATGATGTATTATACGATGAGGGCAATGCTCACAACATCAATTCGAGTTCTGGCTTTGTGTTGGGCACCAAGTTCTGGATTGCAAGGGTTTATGTAGTAGAGCCTGAAGAGTAAAAAACCTTCCCTGGACACAGCTACAGGCTGGCTGTGGCGTCAGTGCTAGCCTCTCGATGGGATGACTTGGTCTGCACCCTGGGTGTTTGTTGCAGCTCGTGGGTTGGGATCAATGCTGGAACCAGTATGCGTACGGAGTTGTTGCCGATGGGCCATCCCAGCCGACCAAGTGTTCAATCAGCAAACTACATGGTGTCCCGGTGGCTTGCTGCAGGTTAACCGGGGTACTTGTGTAGAGATTGTGCCATGAGTACTTGCTATGACCCCACAAGCGTACCTAAGAACCTGGGCCCATACTCTCTTCAAAACGTGGGCGCTTTGGCCTGGGAACACTCTTGCTGAAAACTCCACCCCTGAAACCCTTTAACCCCAAACCCAAGAAGCTGTTGGCCCCCAAGTACGTGGCCCAGGGTCATATTATTGCTCCTCCTCATACACATCGCCAATGGCGTCTGGCTGGTCGAGAATCCTGGCAGTTCGCTTGTGGCATTGCACAATAGATTCCAATGGTTGATTAGAGTCCTGCGAAGAGCAGGATTGTCAGTATCTCTTCTGCACTGAATGCTTTTGGTACTCTTGTTGAAAGGACAGAGGCTAGAGGTTTTCAGGGGAAGCCCGCTCATGAAAGTAACAACTAAGGTGTTCCGAACAGCGTTCAACATGTCAGATTATTCGCACAGCTCGGCCAAACCAACCAAGATTTGGAGCAATTGCTGGGAAGTATGCCTCTTGAGTCTGCGCAGAAAAAAAATACTATAGGACCCGAAAGAAGAGGAGTGCCAACGCAAAAGCACTGGCCCGGAAGTATGTCAACAAAGAAGGCAAAGTATGCTACACTGGCACTTCCAACTTGAAGGCTTCCCAGCTACTTGACTAAGACAGGTGTGTTCTACTCTAGTCTTGCGCTTGAGTACTGGGCCCCACAGATCATTATTATTAAGTGCTTCTTTTCTAGTCTTGATTGAAGTCAGCACTACCAGACCCCTTTGCAGCCCAGAAGAACGTCCTTCAGACCCCGTGAAGCCCCTTAAATTCAAGCCAAACCAGCCCAAGCAGTTTTTGACTCAGAGCTCTTTTCTACTACGTCAGAACTTTACTGGGGTTAAGGGTGAAAGTTAAGGGTTTAGGATAGGGAAACTACTTCCACTATTCATAGTCTACAAATTTGGGTGAAACCCTAAACCCTATGATTTTCCTAGGGATCTGGGTCTGGGAATTAAGTAGACATCTGCATTGTGTAGGGTTTAAGGTTTAGGGTTTAGGGTTGCTGTTACCTAGTTCCCAGGCCCAGATGCAATCAAAGCAACCCCACATGTCACCAAGAATCATTATTATAGTCCAATATAATATACTAATATATTATAACATATTCTATCGTGAGCAGTTTGGAAGTGGGGTATCAGGAAGTGGGGTCCGAGGAGTTCTTTGGAGACCACGGCCGAGCAGTACATAGGGACCATTCCTATCATTGAGGGTTATGGACTTAGGGTCGAGGGTTCTGGAAAACTTTCTAAAGGACCCATCAAATGCCTGCTCGCTGTTGACGTGTCACTGCTGATTCCTTGGATCTTGAATGGGGTTCTGGGGTATTCTGCGAATGCCTGGGGTTCACAACCTTCTGGTCCTGGCTGAAAAATACAGCCCTAACCTAACCCTAGAGCTCTAGTTGGAGGTTCAGGGTAATTATACCCCAAGCATACGTGTAGTTATTGCCCAACTAATAGCTTCCTAGGTTCCCTTCGTGGATTGTAGTTGGATTATAACCACGGTTATAAGCGGGTTATGATTACCTTGAAAGTTAAGTTCTGCTTATTGGGGGATCATCCCTATAACGCAAGTTCTGCTTATTGGGGGGATCATCCCTATAAAATTTAAGTTCTGCTTATTGGAGGATCATCCCTATAACTTAAGTTC